CTCCACTTGCTATTATTACCAGCCCTCTGGGGTCAGTCCCTAACAAGGGGCTTTCTGCCTGGTGTGGCTCGCACCAATAGAACAAGAACAGAGTTCAGTTCAGAAGCAAGGGAAAGCTTTATCCCTTGACGGAAGAGTGGGGAGGCGCGAACTCACAATACACGCTGTCCCCAGAGGCCATCGCAGGGCTGCTGTCCCGGGATCTGGTCTGCGGAGCGACGGGGAGGGAGGGGCGGGGTTCTGACCGAGTGTGCGCTGGCGGGCCGCGCACGCGCGCCAGGCCCAAGCGTCCGGCACAGTCGCTCTGTACCCGGCCCGCCGCCATCTTGAATTGAGGTGTCGCTCGTGCGGGCCGCTTCTCCGCGTGACGCCAAGTTAGGCGTCGGGGGTAGGAGTTCTGAGCTGGGAGCTCTAATCCAACGCGTTAGGTGTAAGTCCTCTGCACTCGGCCCCCTACAGGCAAGCACAAAAAAGAGGTAAGACTTATCACCTAGATTCCATTTCATTTTTCTCTGGGGACCCCAGTGGGTCTTGTTGGCGACACTATGAGCCTCACCTTCTCCTAGGTGCTCTCCATTGATTAACTTTTAAAACCTGTATAGTTGTGAGATAGGTGCTATTACTATTCCCATTTTACTATTTTTTAATTCTTAATTGTTATTTATTTAATGGAGGTGCTAGAAATTGAACCCAGGACCTTGTGCATGCTAGATGCACACTCTCCACTGAGCCACATCTTCCTCCCTTAAATTCTTAATTTTTAATAAAGACACCAAGGTTAAGAGAGATGAAATAACTTGCCTACTGTTACAGAGAGGGAGCTAGGATTCAAGCCTAGACGGTCTGGTTGCAGTGTCTAACCTGAACCACCAGGCAAGGCTGCGTCCCATCAGGGTCCTCCCTGGAGGACAGAGCTTTCCTGTCCTGTGTGCTGCTGTGTCTCTTCCCAGCACTTCTGGGATAATGTGATTTATAATAAGAGATGTGTACTTGGTCTTCGTTTGGGTTCTGGCACAGGGCTCCTAAAATCACTGGGATTTCCCAAGTGTTGAGAGCAATAAAAGTGTCTTTTGTCATGGTAATGAGTGACTTCTGGAAAGCACCTAAGGATGGGGGCTGGTTGCCGGATGGGTCAATCATGTGATTAGAGGGTTGGAACTTTCTGCCCCCACCCCCCTCCGCCAACCTCTCAGGGAAGGAAAGATGTGCTGGAGGTTGAATTCAGTCACCGGTGGCCAATGATCTAATCAGTCATGGCTATGGAATGAAGCCTCCATAAAACCTCAAAAAGAGGAGGTTCAGAGAGCTACTGGGTTGGTGAACACATAGGAGAAAGAGGACATGGATGCTCCGCACCCCTTCCCACACACCTTGCCCTGTGCCTCTCTTCTCTGTGGGCTGTTACTGAGTTACATCCTTTTATAATATACCAATAATCTGGAAAGTAAAATGTTTCTCTGAGTTCTGTGATCTGCTCTATCTAGCAGATGAATGGAACTCAGGGAAGGAGGTGGTTGGGAACCCTGATCTATAGCTCTTGGAGGGGAAGAAGCAGTTTTGTAAGCATGGACCCTTAACCTGTGGACTCTGACACTGCCTCCAGGTCGATAGTGTCAGAACAGAGTTGAATTGCAGGACACCCAGCTGGTGTCCGAGAACTGCTTGTTGGTGTAGGGAAACTCCATTCCCACACCCCCCACGCTGGAATTGACTCACACAAGACTTGGCTCAGTTAATCTTTGTTTAACTTTGAGTGAATAAATGTTGTTAGAAAACCTTGACCCTGTTTGATTTTTAAAACAGAGAGGAAAACTCACTTGACTATTTAATAGAAATACCAGAATCCAATCTCTTGTTTCAAGAGCATTGCGAGGTAGGGGCCCAGCCAGGGATGCCCCTGAAATATGAATGGGGGGAAATATGCTGTGTAGCCCCACAACAGATCCTGTATGGAGTCTTGAGACATTTCTAGGAGTGGCTTTTCATGGCGTTTCTGATTTAGTTGTAAAATAGGCAATCTGGCGGCAGGTTACTGATGCTAAAGGGAGCAAGATGCAGACATAGAAGCAAGGCATAGAGTGAACTAACAGACCGCCGCACACCTTCGCCACCATCAGGGTGAGCACAGAAAATTAAGCTGCCTTGGATTGAATTTCTTCTTCTTGTAGCTGAGTACTGCAACCTTTGCTGCATTAATATTAGCTAATAAATGCTTAGAGCAATTAATTTATCCCATAAAAGATCAAGTCTTATAACAATACCATGTCTAGTTCACCCTTTACCTACCACGACACAGTTAATAACATAGGCTTACTGATGTTAGCTGAGTCAGCCTGACCTGCCTTAGTTCACTTCTCAGAAAGAGGAGAGAGGAGAGAGTCACAAATGACCTGCTACAGAGAGATGAGTCTTTGTATGTGCTGTGAATCTGGCTGTGTTCCAGCTAGTTTTTAATTAGATGAATGTGCCCTTTCAATGTTGCATTTCTGTTTGTCCCCCTATCTCTTCCCTGCACTGCTGGTTATTTATGTATTTAATATGCAAATAAAGACGCACCAGCTCATACATCAGAGGCCTGCCCCCAACATCCGACATCCATGGGGCCTTTTAGAAGCAGATCTGTATATCTCGACCAGAACAAGTCCCTTTGCAGCCATTCATCTGGGCTGGCCGTGTTTATAAGCTGAGGCTTCTCTTTTTGTCCCCTTTAATTTCTGTGTATTACTGAGGTTTGTACAACCATTGTTCAGTTCTCATTTTTGCGGACATCTGTTACACGGCCAGTCATTGTTTTAAAAAAATCTAAAGTGAGCTAAACATATCAACCAAGCAACACTTCCCTCACTCCCCAGGGAGTTTAGGCCTATTTATGTAGCTGCTGGATGTAAAGATACTGGGGTTTATATCATTTGTATTAATCTAAAATTAACTGTGCATGTGCTGGGAGCCTTAAGACCTAGGATTTCTCAATCATCAGCTTCTTTACCACTGAAAACAAACAAGAGAAACTGAACCATTATGTTTTTGACAGTATTGATCTTAATATTCATTAACTAAGTAGGTTTGGGATCTGGTGCACAGCACGGGAATTTGGTGCTGGTCAAATCTTTGTTTCTTCTTCTCTCAGATTCACTTATTCAACAAATACATATGTTGAATGCCTTATGTGTCAGGAAGTAAAACTCAGAAGCCTCAATTTTTGAACATTGCATCCATCTGTTGACTACCTTTCAACATGTGCAGTTGCCCAAGTGTCTTTGAGTATGTATGTCTGTGCCTCCTTGGACTGCCTTGAGTCCTTCATCTCTTTCTTCAAGCGTGAAATCCAAACAGCATTCCCATATTGTAGCCCCTCAGGACCCATATAAGGCTCAGTCTATCAGATTTATAGGTTTCATTTCTGGCTGAACTTAAAATCAGCTGGGGAGCTTTAAAACTATATACCAATCCCCGTTCCAGTCAGTTGAGTCAGAACTTAAGGGTGGACCAGTTGCAGTTTTCTAGGTTATTCTCATATGCAGCCAGGGTTGAGGAACACAGATCTAGAATAAAAGGCTACGAACAGTGAAGGTTAGTGCACGTGGCGGGTGTCTTTGGGCAGTGTGAGGAACAGCTGTCAGAATTTGCACGGATAGCTAAGAAAGTAGTACTCTCCAGGACACAGAGGTTCACAGTGGTCCAGGCTTCAGGGACGATTGTGTAGAGAAAGTTGGGCAGAGAAGCTCTGGACAGAGACTCAAGCTGTGTGACCTAGAAGGAAGAAAGCAGGTCGGCATTTACAGCATCATGCGTTTTTAAAAGTGCTTAGAGAATTTCAGGTGACTGAAGTCGTTGGCAGGACTCTTTGCAGAAATACAAATCATAATATTTGAGAAACAAAAAGGAGAGACCCTGAGGGCAGATTTTATATTCATCTTTTAAAAAAAATGACTTGGAAAATTATACTTCATTTTGTTCAAGAACTTATTATGCTGACAAATATTTGTACAAATGTTATTTCAGCCCATGAATTTTATTTTAACAGACTTCCAGGGTAAGGCCCAACTACATAGAGAAAATGCCAACCTTCCTTTCCATTTGCTGGTCCAGAGTCTTACATTTCAAAAGACAGTACTGGACCTCAGTTTACACTTTCTTATAATGATATGTCATGATTTTTCTTTATTGTAGTCAGTTTACAGTGTGTCGGTTTCTGGTGTGCAGCACAATGCTTCAGTCATACAAGAATATATGTATATTTGTTTTCATATTCTTTTTCACTGTAAGCTACTACAAGATATCAGATATAGTTCCCTGTGTTATACAGTATATGTCATGTTTTTTTCAATGTTGAGAATTTTGAATGGTACAAATATGTTGGAAAAATTATTTTAACCCTACAAATTCTGCACTAGCAAGATATCCTGCACCCAGGATTTTACTGAAGGGAAAAGAACGTCCACAAATAATGTGTCCATACACGTCTACAGTAGCTTTTACAGTTCACTTCTATAACTATAACGATTTATAATAGTTACCAATACTGTCTTGAGAATTGAGGCCTACTGAATATTCAGACTAAGTAAAAGATTCCCCTCACTTACCACATTCCTTTCACCACTAAGAAGACATAACCCAAGCATTTGCTGAATATAGGAAAAGGTCATCATTTCATGGTGTGATCTTAGTATTCCAGTATATTTTAGATGAGAGCAGTTGACCATGGAGGAGTTCACTGTTGAACATAAAATGTGAAGTTGGAGGAACTCTGATTAAAGGAGGGGCTGGCCCTGCTTCTGGCTTCACTGCAGCTCAGGTGTTGATCCTTTGAAATGGATGCCTGAGTGCAGGGGAGGGAACAGCAAATCCTTGATACCCAGGCCCAGCTCTGGGAAAAGGATTAACAGGGCTTGGTGCTTGGTGCCCTGAATGGTTTGAAAATGCCCCTTGGGACGTGTGGATTCTCATGACCTCTTCCAGGAACTTGAGCACTTTTAGCATCTCTGCCATCTCTTCTTTAGACTGCAGAATCTTGGACCAGCTCTTGGACCAGAGAATTGAGTTCCTTCCTCAAACGCGCGTTGACCCTCATCGTATTTCTGCCAGTATCAGCGAGGCTAAGCATGTTTCATGAAACTCTGTTGAGCCTGGCATTCTCCACAGATGTCTCCATGCCAGCATTCTCCTGTTTAGCAGCACAAATCTTGTCAATGAGTTGGCATTTCTCCTCAATCAATGCAGCCAGCATTTTTGCCAGCTTCTCCTCATGTCTCCCATAAAGTCAACTTCTCCAAGATCAAGCAAGTCTGAAAGTACCTAAGACCCCCACCAAAAAGCTGATGACAGGCAGACTTGCCACTGTCTGCCCTTTTAGGTTCTGGAAAGTGAACCATGAACTCAAGCCACTGGACAGCAGCAACACCACAACCTCACTCAGCTTCCCAAAGAAGAGCCCTAAGCCAGTGTCCACAGAGGACGGCAGCCCCTCGTGGCACTGATCCACCACAGGGCTCTGCCCAGTTACCGTGGATCCACCAGCCACAACAAGCCCCAGGTAACACACCAACATTCCACCTGGAACCCAACCAGCAAATGACATCCTGGATTGGTCAGGTATCTTGTCAGTGTTGGGGAGGGGCTGCAGCAGAGAAGGGGTCTGTAACGAAAAATGTGGTTCTCTCCATTATTGCCTAATGGTCATTTTTCCTTCTCTCTTTCCTTTTGTGTTGATCTCAACACACCCTACAAATGGAGGGAAGTGTGTCCATGTTAAGTTTATGGTTTCACGTGTCTTTAACCTTTCTAACACTTGACGGTATCCGAAGACCCACTGTGGGAATCATGTGTTAGAGTAATATCCATTAACCCAGAATACACACCTCTGTCACATTTCAGCTGAAACTCACACACTCTCACAACATGGATCCATCCGATTCATGGGGGCTGAATTTCATAGAAATGAAATCAATCCCAGTGTACACTCTAATGTCTGTCTCTTTTGCTCTCAGTACTGTTTTTCAGAGCTACACGTCTTTTTTATATAAAGATGCCATTCATTCTGTTCGGAGGGTTGAATTTGCCATTCATTCTTTCTGTTGCAAGGCTTGTAAGTGTATATCACAGACCATTAATCCATTCTTTGAATAATAGTCATTTGGGTTAGTTCAAGTTGCACTATTATGAATGAAAATTTTTGAATATTTATGCACTCATCTTTTTTCTAAATATCTGATTTCATTTACCATATGGGGTGAATACATGCAAGCAATGATATTGGGTAGGTGTGTGCCGAATGCTCCTTATATGTCATGATATTTTAAGCTAACAAATGAGTGTGATTCACAAAAGCTATCCAAATGAATCCTTATCAATTGGAAGCCTCATTAACGGTATGATACCTGAGTTTATCATTAAAATTTTCTTTGGGAACAAATTCAAATATTGAAAATCAAAACAGATTAAAATCTAATCTTCTGTAGTTATATAAATTTATCATTCTGTTAGATGAATATAAAGTTTTGCCTCAAGCTCTCTCTTTTTTCTTTCCAAAATATTATGATATGTATTTCCGCAAAGATGCCTGCCAGTGACTTCGGTCACCTGAAACTCTCTAAGCACTTTTAAAATAAGCACTAAAGAACTCATTTTGCTGATAAATATTTGTAAAATATTGCTTCATCCCATGAATTTTATTTAAATAGGACTTAATAACTGAAAGTGGTCTTAACATAGGTTCATAATTAAAAGCATGATCTCTTGATCAAAACCTGACTCCATTATTTCATAAAATCAATACTCATTCAATAAATGTTTATTCAGCACTTGCTAGCAATAGGCACTAGATGTTTTAGACAATTGGAAGGTATCGATGAATAAAAGAGACAAAAATCCTTGCCTACTTGATACGTACATGCTATTGAAGGAGACTGACAATAAAAACTATACAATAAAGTTAATTTATTACCAAATTGTTTAATACATTAAAAGGTGCTACAAGGTACATATTTTTAAAATGAGGATTGGCAATTCTGAGAGAGTCAAGAGTGGATTACAATATTCAATAAAGTGGTCAGAGTAGATTTTATTGAGAAGGTGATTTTTGAGTAATTCCATGAAGGAGATGAGGGGGTTAGCCTTGTGGATATCGAGGGCAAGAGTGTTCTGGGAAGACAGAACAGCAAGTGCAAAGCTTGGTAACAGGAGTTTGTTTTTGTGTTTGAGGACAGCAAGGAGGCCAGAGTACTTGGACAAGGTGAGCAGGAGGGTGAGAAATACAAAATAGGTCCGAGAGACTGGGAGAGGAAGGCAGGTCACAAGGTCTTATGGGCCTTTGTAGAGACTTTGGCTTTTCTTCCAAGGGAGGGTGGGAGTCATTGGAGGATTCCGAGCAGAGGAGTGGCATGATCTGACTTCTGTTTTAAAAGCTTACCCTGGAGGCGAGTTCTACTGCTGTTGTGAGAGCATGAGGCGCCTCACAGATCTCCCTACAGAAACTGGTGAAAATTATTTTTTAAAACAACCATTTAAGGTTTCTGGAAATGGCCCAGAGAGCATACAGCAGATAAAGAAACATTTATTCAAGAAATCTATTAACACCAAGAATCTGTGGTATTTGAACCAAGACCTCTGAGCTGTCTTCCAGCTCAGTGAGATGGAAACTCCACTCCAAAATTGTACAGCTATGAACAGAGGGTTCTCTCTCTGACATACCCCTAGTTGGAAGGACTGTCTTTTGGGGAGAGGCAATAAATAAGTGCCACTTACCTTTTGTTACCTGTTGCTGAAGCTAAGTTCCAGGTGAGTGTGGTTGAGAATTGGAAAGTTTACCAAACCCTTGTTCATGAGATGGAGGTTATACTGTGGCCATAGCAGCACTGAGAATCCTGAGGCCATGGTCGTTCTTCCCTTGGCTTGTGGGGTGGGAGTTCTACGCTGTGAGAGGCAAGTCAGGGAGACCTGGGGCCGCTATCTTTCCAACCAGCGAACACTCAGCTCCTGAAGTAGAATATCTGAAAGAAGTGTGCGATTGTCCCTACCCTTAGCATCAGTGTCATGGCTCAAAGATTTTTGCCTAAGTCGAGGAGCATGCCATAAAATGGAGAGCTTGAAATCCCTCCCCAAAGGACTGACTTCACTTGCAATATTGTGAACTTGATTTGCAATAATTCAAGCCTGGGGTCACTTTCAAAAACAGTGAAAGTTGTGATGAAAGGTAATTGAGAGGAGATTGATAGATTCTTTGGAGGTAAGGGCTAAACTGTAGGCCAGCTAGCTTTCCAGAGAGAAATGGGAAAAGAGACAGCTGGGAAGAGCCTTCCTGGGCTAGGACAAATCTCCCATGCTGACTTTGGGAAATGTCCCATTCAAAAGAGCCAGATTTGGATTAGATTAATCTGTGTAGTAATTTATGTGCCAGTGCACTGTTGAAAACAAAAGCAACCAATCTACAATTAGTGGTGCTTGACAACTGGGTGTGGTCAAGGACAGAAATAGCCAAAGTGAGCCCTACCAAAATCACTATCATTCCAGAGTGACCATGGGCCTTAAACAAATGTGGAACAGCATTAAGTGCAACAATATAGATATAATGGGAATACCAGTAGGAGAAGAAAGAGAAAGGGGAAGGAAAATGTTTGAAGAAATAATGGCTGAAAACTAAGAAATTTATTTTAAAACATTAATTTATATATCCAGGAAGCTTAGTGATTTCCAAGTAGGATAAACACAAAGAAATATACAAGTAAACACATCATAGTGAAAATACTGAAAACCAAAGATAAGAAGAAAATCTTGAAAGTAGCACAAGAAAAAATGGCTTTTCACTTACAAGGAAACTGCAATGAGATTAACAGCTGATTTAGAAACAGTGGAGGCTAGAAGGCAGTGGGATAGTTTGTTTGAAGTCTTCAATGGAAAAAAAAATGTTAATCAAAAATCCTGCATCCATGGACAGCAGTATGGAGGTTCCTTGAAAAACAGAGTTAACATATGATCCAGCAATCCCACTCCTGGGCATATATCTGGAGAAAAGTCTATCTTGAGATATATATATATATATATATATATATATATATACACACATACACATACAAACACACACACACACACATAAAATGGAATACTACTCATAAAAAGAATGAAATAATGCCATTTGCAGCAACATAGATGAACCTAGAGATTATTATATTAAGTGAAGTAAGTCAGACAGGGACAGACAAATATCATATGATATCACTTTTATGTGGAATATAAAAAAAAGGTGACACAAATGAACTTATTTACAAAACAAACAGACTTATGGACATAGGAAACAAATTTATTGTTACCAAAGGGGAAAGAGGGAGAGGGATAAATTTGGAATTTGGGATTGATAGGTACACACTACTATATATAAAATAAGAGAACAACAAGGACCTACTGTGTAGCACAGGGAACTATATTCAGTATCTTGTAATAACTTATAATGGAAAAGAATCTGAAAATATATATATATATACACATACACATACACATATATACACACACACACAACTGAATCACTTTGTTGTACACCTGAAACACTGTAAATCAAATATACTTCAATAATACATACATACATACATACATACATAAAAAGAAAGAATCCTGTATCCTGCAAAACTTTTTTTTAAAAATGAAATAAAGACATAAAGATAAAGTTTGAGCAATTTTACTACTAGCAGGTTTACTTTGGAAGAAATACTAAAGGAAGTTCTTCAGGCTGAAAGCAAGTGACTCCAGATGTTAATTGGAATCCACATGAAAAAAACAAAGGGCATTGATAAAGGTAGTTATATAATTATAACAAACTACAAATGCATATTGTTTCTCCTTTCTTCTCTTAACTGATTTTGAAAGTAACTGTATAAAATAATACATATGTAACGTATTTTGGGCCCTATAACATATGAAAATGTAATATAATTGCCAACAATAGCACAAAGGAGGCAAGTAGGAGCAAAGGTGTATTGGGCTAAGGAAGTGACTCCACATGGTAACTCAAATTTATAGGAAAAAATGGAGAGAACTGATGATGACAAAAAAAAGTTAATATAACAAAAGCTAAAAGTATACACATGCTATTTTTCTCTCAGCTTCTTTAAAAGACACAAAATTACATAAAGTAATAATTATAACAGTATAATTTGGGATTTGTAATGTTTATAGATGCAATCAGTGTACCAATAATGCCACAGAAAGGGGAGAAAGGAAATTAATTATATAGGAGTAATGTTTCTGTAATTCATTGAAATTACATTAGTATGACTCTGAAGCCATTTTTAATAAGTTCAGCTAAGCCCCAGAGCAACCACTGAGGAAATAACTTAAAAAATATGGTAAGAAAAATTATTAAGGAAATTAAGATGCTATTTTAGAAAATATTCACTTAAGATGAAGGAAAGCAGTAAAGGAGGAATAGAGTAACAACAATGACACAAAGACATAATACAAATAGAAAACAAAAAGTTAAAAGGCAGATGTAAATCCAATTATATTAATAATTACATTAAATGAGAATAGATTTTAAAAAGTCCT